CAGGAATAGGTAAATGATTTTAAATTAGAATTTAATCTCTGAAAGTCGCTTTCTAGCTAATGTTTCAAAAGATGTATTTCTATTTCAAACTTACATTTCATATATATGGTAACTTGTATATACTACAGACCAAATTTACCAGTGATCTGTTGTGTCATGTTGTGCTGGCTATATTGCAGTGTATACAGCATACAGGAATAATACCATGTTTTAACTGTAATGTAGCAAGTATATGTAGGTATAAGGCATTTATTTTGCACCTTTTTTTCATTAGTGATCTGAATTTCTTCTGTGCTACAGTATAACATGAAATCTCTATTTACATATTATTTCACATTCGATGATTTTGTAATCTTCCTTTTGTTTCTAAACTGGCTATATTTTTACTTTTTTATTTTCAGTCCTTTTGTCCTATTTCAAAGGTATCTCAATAGGCACATTTCCCTGTGACAGTAAGCAGTGGCCTTGCTCCATTTCTAAGAATAGATGCCTTTTATATTTCTTAAAAGTAAATAATTTATACTTATACATTCTGCAAACGTACTTGCATACTCGCTAAAGAAATTATTTAAAACCTGTGGTAAGGATATCATTCCAGCAGCTGTTTTGCTTTTGACAAGAGTTCTCTGTTTTTCCCAGTATACAACTTCTCTGGCATTTTTACACACAGATTTTGATAATCGAGGAAAGAAATTGTTGGATATTCTGTCGAGGCCTAAAATGTTACAGCTTCACATCTTTTCTTCTAAGCATTACCTATTTATAATTGTTTTGTAATGGCATGTTCAAAATACAACTCAAAGGTACTCAAGAGAGTTTTAATAACTTGTGGTCCTGTACTTTTTCTGAACTGTGGAGTTGTTCTGGAATACTTGACTGCTTAATCTAACAGCATGCTGTGCAGCGTTGAAGATGCATAGTTTAGATCACTCATTTTAATTACAAAAACCAAAAATCCTAAGGCTGTACCTCAAGATGGAGGTTTGCTGCGAGAGGCATATACTAAACTTACACAGATGGC